GAGGCCCTGAAGCCAGATTTTGGTGTTTGGGAGGGGCTGGAGCAGGTTTTTGGGGTGCTGTGAGGCTGTGCAAACAAGTTCTGGGGTGCTGCAGGGGGATCTGGAGTCAGGATTTGGGGTGCTGGGGAGGTTTGGAGCAAGGCTTTGAGGTGCTGCGGGGGTATCGAGCTGGGGTGTTGCAAGAGGCCCCAGAGCTCGGTTTTGGACTTCTGGGGGGGCTGGAGCAGAGCTTTGGGGTGCTATGGGGGTGTGGAGCTGGGTTTTGGGGTGCTGTGGGGCCATGCAGACAAGTTTTGGGGTGCTGCAAGGGGCCCTGAAACCAGATTTTGGGGTTCTGGGTGTCTGGAGCGAGGCTTTGGGGTGCTGTGGGGCCATGCAAACAGGTTTTGGGGTGCTGCAGGAGGATCTGGAGCCAGGTTTTGAGGTTTGAGAGGGTTTGGAGCAGGGCTTTGGGGTGCTGGGGAGGGTACTGAGCAGGGTTTTGGGGTGCTGTGGGGCCACGCAGACAAGTTTTAGGGTGCTGCAACAGTGGCTGGATGCAGGTTTTGGGGTTCTGGTGGGGCTGGAGCAGGGCTTTGGGGTGCTGCAAGAACCTGGATCAGGGTTTTGTGGTGCTGTGGAAGGATGGAGCAGGGCTTTGGGATGCTGTGAGACTGTACAGCGCAATTTTGGGGTGCTGCAGGGTGACCTGGAGCCTGGTTTTGGGGTTCTGGGGTGGTGCTGTGGGGATAAGGACCGTGCCTGGGGCTTCTGTGGTGGCATGGAGCAGGGTTTTGGGGTGCTGCAGGAGCCTGGAGCAGAGCTTTGGGTTGCTGGGAGTGCCAGGAGGCAGGCTTTGAGATGCCATGGGGCCATGCAGGCAAGTTTTGGGATGCTGCAGGAGTCAGATTTTGGGGTTCCTGGGGGGCTGGAGCAGGGCTTTGTGGTGCTGTGGAGGTAAGGAACATGGCTGGGGGTTCTGTGGTGGCATGGAGCTGGGTTTTGGGGTGCTGTGGAGTGACCCGAGCTCAGCTTTGGGGTGCTGCAAAGGACTGGAGCTGGGTAGTGGGGTTTGGGTGCCTGGCACCTCCTCTTTCCTTCATCTCACCGGAGCATCGGGCTCATTGCAGGGTGTTCTGCAGCTCCCACACAACCACCTTGTAGGGCCGAACCCCCGACCCCTTTCTTCTCCTCTTGCCCCCCAGCCTCGTGCCTCTCCCTGCAAGCAAGGATGGGCCGAAGGCTCGTTCCACCAGGGACACAAACAGCAGCACCCAGAGCACCCAAACGTCGCTCCCCTGGTTCTTTCCAGTCTCTGCGCTTCCCTCGCCCCCCTCACACAAAGCAGCCTTCATCCTCCCTTCGCAGTCAGCTGCTCCGCGAGGAATTTCCTGACGCGTTTGCTTCTGCCTTCGCCGCACGCTCGGATGCGTCCTTATGCAACCGCGACCGGCTCGCTTCGTTACTGACAGAAATGAGACTCCATTTCTATAAAAAAAAATCTCGCTTTTATTTATATGTTGTTCCCTTTTGGAATATGCACCCCAGTTATGAACTAGAGGGAAAAAAAAAACCTAGAAGAGAACAGGGGGAAAAAAAAGAGAGGAAAAAGATTCTTTTTTTGATATTGGAAATCTTGGGAAGACATTGTCAGCTCCGTCTTTTCATCTGTTACTGACTGCACGCCAGCAGAAAATCTTTGTTGATTCAGTTCTTTCCAGGAGCTGGGCTTCTGCGTATGAAAAGCCCTCGTACCGTAAAAGCAGAAAGGCAGGGTAGCTCTGCGTCAATTTTTTTTTGTTTTTTTTTTTGAAAAATACATACTGTTCCTCACAGGTGCTATTTTAAAACCACATAATCAACAAAACTTGTGAGGTTTATTTAAATGTACCTAAAACTTCCCTCAAGTTTCATTCACCAAATGTCGCTTAAGTTCAAATATCAGGTTTTAGTCTTCAAACATATCAGTCAAAGTGTTTTTCCCCAAAAGGAGCTTATTCTAATAGTTACTTTCTCAGAGAAGAGAAAGGAAAGGCATCAGAACTACAAGTTTGGGTATAAAAGAACAAACCTATGTAAGTACTAAAAATACAAAGAGCTTGTTTTAACCCATTTTTCTTGAAGGAGCCATTTAAAAGCCCCAATGCACAGCTCAGCTGTTTGTTTTGCTTCCCATTTTTAAGAAAACACCTCTTGGTCTCCCAGGGCTTTAAAGACCAGCACTTTCAGTATTTAGCTTACATCCTAAGTGCTGTGAAATTGGTTTTTTGGTTTTTTTATTGATTTCGGTTGATTTGAGCGAGAGTCAGCTGAGTGGACCAGCGGTCCGTGTACGGTTGTACGGTATCGCTGCTGGTACGGCTGAAAGACAGTGTCTCACCGTCAAGCAGGAAGAGAAGGCACAGCCAGAATGCAAGAAAACTAAGGGAAAAAACCCAAAGCCCAAAAAAGTCACTTGGATAAAAAGCCTAAATATTCAGCTTCCAGGCCTCCTGACATCATTGTGCAGATTCTAAACCCCAAAGGGTTGACAATCTATTTGATTGAGCCCTTGACTTGGCTTAACGAGCTTATTCAACAGTCTCTCAAGTTCTCCTGGCCAGCTTCTGTTCTGAGCATCTGGAATGTTTTTTTTTTTCCCCCTCTCTTTCAGAGCCATTGAGAACTTGGGGAGGGTGCCAGGTCCTGGGCAGGGTGGTCCTTCCTCGAGAAAAGCTTTAGCAGAAGTCCTTTATGTACAAAGCAAAGGCCAGAAAGGGGCAGGCTGCAGAGGAACGGCACAAAGCTCTACTGGAAACAAGAGGGGACACAGCGAGGTGGATTTACAGCATTTATATCCCTCTGAACAAACCCCAGCCCCTGCACGTGTCTCAGCAGCACGCTCAGTTGTCCACCTCCTCCTCATCGTTTTGCTCTTCTTCCTCCATCCTTTCGTCGTCATCATCGTTCTCCTCCTCTCGGCTTTTGTCTTGCTCCTCCGAGTCTGCCTTCTTGTCTTTATCTTTCCTTGCTTCTTTCTTTCCTTTCTGTTCACGCCTGTAAACTGAAAAAAAAGAGAGAACACTGAAAAATTCAAGCCGGGGGTTCCACGGCGTGAGCAGGACAGCAGCTGAAGCCCAACGTCCACTTGCTCTCCAGGCTTACAAGGGGAGCAGTGAACTCATAGCAGCGACTCACCCTATTACTTGAGCTGTGCTGACCAGCTCCATAGGAAATTGGGTTCAGTTTCAGCAGAAAAATGCTGAAAAAGACGCCGGAGTTCACATTTACAGGCAGCCCCTAAGATTTTCCTTAGATAAACATAACAGGGGAGCGAGAGCAGATGAGACTTTCCCAATCCTCATCAGTTGTGAGATAATGTTATCCCAGTCCCGTTAAGGCGCACATTATTTACTCCCCAGGCAAACCGCAGTGGAGGATGCTGGGCAAAGAGAAGAGAAACAAGACAGGCAAATAAGTGCTGCTTGTCCAGCGTTCGAGGAGAAAACAGGACTCGGCGCTACTGAGACTCCCTCGACACGACCCGAGGACGGTACCTTCCAGGGACTCCTTCAAAGGGGCTACAAATCGCTGAAACTCCATCTCCTCCATGGCAGAGAGAACGTCGCCGGCGTTCAGCGTCTTCCTCTTCCCCTTCATGGCAAAGTTATTTGCACTGGTCAAAAGCAAGAAGGAAAATAAGAGTTAATTTGTGTGTCATCACTTCTCTCATTTCATAAAGTCACAAGCAACTTAGAAAAAGCCAGGTCCTAAACACCTGGGGGTTTTGTAATCGCTTACTAACAGTTTAAGACACTTGTGTTGGCTGTTTGTGCTTTCACCTAGTGGCACTGCTTTTCCCCAGCAGTAGTTTTCTGCTTGCAGGGAAGAAGAAAACGTGAGCGTTGGCCCTAAGGTGACAATTCCACAACGCCCTGCAAGGACCTGACGCCAGAGAAGCAACTGCCTGCGCAGCCCACCCGCGCCTCCCCGGAGATGTTACCGTGTCCTCTGGGCTACATTAGAGATTGATTTATCTACGTGAACAGACAATACGGGAACAAGCAGTTGGGAAAAAAAAATCAGTCTCCAGGAGAGAGGGGAATTATGAATCCACCGCGCTGGTTATCTGGTGCAGCAAACCCTTACCATGACGTCGCATAGAGCACGAACACGCTCGCCGCGCGGGAGATTGCGCTCCGAGCTTCTTTGGAAATGTTTACCCCATCGGGAAGCTGGAAAAGAAATTCAACTCTTGTCAGAAGCTGGAAAAGAATCATAGAATCCTAGACTGGCCTAGG